TAGCTATCTGGACAGTGATTGGTTCTTAGGATAAGACATCAAATGCTAACTACTGCTGGCATAGTAATGCAAATGTTCTCTGGCAATTAGATATAGGTTTGATTTACTTTTGTTTACTGTGGTAGACATGTCAGACATACTGCTTGAAGGTATTGTTGTGGATTTTTTAGAAAGAGTTACACATGTCTTCAGTTAATGATGTAGATTTAAAAGAATCCTCTACATTTAAGTGACTAGAGCCTATGTGATTCACAAATGTTTTAAGGTTGAAATGTTGAGAGCTGTCTCTGAGAAGTCATCTTGGGTGAGGGTTGTGAAGTTTCAGTCATTGTTCTCCATTGTGTGCAGCGTGGGGGATGGTTTCTTGTTGCTGACGATGGTCGTTAGGGCGTCAAGATCGCAAACCAGTGACTTGGCCTTTGTAATGCAACTTCTCTGGAGTCTTGTGGGAGATATTTTGAAACTGTAAAGAGCGGATGTACAATACTCCACTTTTGTTGAAAATTGTACCCTATGTTACAAGCTACTCACAAAAAGTAGCTAAATAAGGTGTTTTACACCAGAAAACATCTACTAAGAATTAGTATAATAACCATACATATGTGCGATTTAGTACACCCCCAAATAATGGGGTTGAATAACTTTTAAAATATCACCAAATGAATTTTAAAGCGATTGTGTATAATATGGAGTTAATTTATTACACTAGTATGGACAAAAATACAGCAACACCTACGCATTACTTTTATAACATCCCATTCTAAATCCATAGGCAAGATTTCCCTTAACAACCCATGAAAACACAGCCCCTACCAAATTTATTAGGACAGGGGTAGCACCTTTGTCCATATAGTGTATTTGGATGGAAATCTATCTCAAAAGAAGGAAGACTGATGGTCTCTCTGATTGGTCTGACACATGATCAACAATGCTTAAAGTCACTGAAAAGGTTTACAAGCAGTGGGAATCATTTAATATGTAAGGCTTACAATGAATGTCAACCAGGCATTCATAGTCATTCAAATTCTAGGTCACTCTCTTCTGATGAATTTAAACTTCTACGTACATTAAGTGTAGTGGTGGAGTTACCTACAGCCTGTCTCAGAACCAACATAATGCCTTATTGTCTTGCTCAGATTTTTATTATTTGGTCATTTGTCCTTGCTTTTTGTGCTTCTACCATAGGTATTTAGGCTATGTAGTTAAAAGGCTTCTGTTTTATTTGCCTTAATTGTGTTTATTGAGTGTTTAATTTATTTTGTGTTACATGCCACTTGTGTCAGGGATACTATAATTTAACAGTGGTGAGAACTTCTCTCAGGCTTACCAATATTGTAAATATGCTATACAAACTGGCATACATTTCTTTTAAGCGTATTGTTGAAACCCAAAATGTAGAGTGGCCATTATAGTGCAGTATACAGTAAATTGAGGGTCAAAGTTAAGAGAGAAGAGAGCAAGAAACTTTCAGTTTATGAGCGTGTGTCTTCAGGAGCATGTGCACCATACACAAATGAGTTCTTACTGCAGTGGCCCAGTTCTAATCAAACCTGTGGCTTATTAGCATGCATCTCCTCTCTCCTGTATTTATTTTCTCTCTTTCGCTGTACCATCATCAGATTTTTATTAGAATTGGGTGTTTGGGCACTTTTACTAAACATATGTCTACATATATTTCTACCGTTTTCTTTTTGTGGTTGTAGGAAACTGTTATGAATTAGCATCCAATGCAGAGTTAAGCTAAATACAAAATCCTGGAGAAAGTGTGAGTGCTGTCTCTGAGAGGTGACCTGGAGCAGGTGAGGGGTGTGAACGTGTGTCTGATTGTCTGCAGTGAGAATCTGTGTCTGATTGTCTGCAGTGTGGGGGAGGGTTTCTTGTGACCAATGATGATCGTTAGGCCTTTGAACTTGAACTACTTAACATTTCACACTTGCACCCAATATTGTGTCTCGCCTAGTCTTGTAAACTTAGTGTCTCTTCAAACCCCAAGTAACCACAGATTATATTTAGTTTAAATTATAAGTTTCTCTTAGAAATTATCAATTTCTTTTTTATTTATTCATGCTGGAGTGTGAGTGTCAATCCATGCTATCTAAGAGGGAACTTGTGTCATTATGTACCAGCCAACAGTGGACATTTTTGTAATGCAAAACAACAAACAAAATGCATTCCGTTACATACAGATTAAAGATACATGTACATTGTAAAATTGATTGAAATCCTGTGATTGTCATAATTGGTCAATATACTGGGAAAATTGGGGGGCTAAATCCTTTCAAAGGGCTGGTGAAAGTTCATAATAAATCTGTTTTTAGCAAATAAAAAAAGAACATTAAGAATCTTCCTGCTGAACATTTACTTCCTAATTGAAATTTATTTATCATGCTTGAGGAATATTTAATGATGTTGGAGTGTGACTGTTGCTCCATAGGATCTAAGAGGGGACATGTGCCCTATGTAGCAACAGTGGATTCCTGTCATTTAATGTGTCATCGGTAATAGTCTTTTTGTCATGGGTAATGTGGGTTACACATTTCTTAGCAAAGGACAGCAGCTTCTCAGGTGGAGGATCAAACTTCAGGCTCTTGAATTTTTAAGTTGGTAAAGTTTTGTGCTTTAATGTTTTGTTTGGAGAAAGGAGGCAAGTTCAGAATAGGGAATGTGTGTGGGTCAAAAAGCGTCAAATACCAGTGAACTAGTTATGAGCAATACTTTTGAATGAAGAACATATTATGAGTTGGAAAAGACTTAATTGAGAGTTATTTGGAAACTATTACTTGTTACATAACAATAGACCTTATTTACAAGTATAACTAAAGATTCTATTTAGGTTACATTATAATTTTCTTTTAAGAATCATACATTTCTTTTTTACTCATCCATGTTGCAGTGTGAGTGTCGATTCATGCTATCTAAGAGGGAACTTGTGTCATTATATACCAGCCAACAGTGGACATTTCTGTAATGCAAATCAACAAACAAAATGCACACCTATAAATATAGATTAAAGAAACAAGTACATTGTAAAATTGATTAAAATCATGTCCTAATTGGTCAATATCATATTTGGAAGATTTGGGGGCTAAACCATTTCACAGGTCTAGTAAAACTTAATAAATATGTTTTTAGCAATTAATAAAAAATTATACAAAGTATCTTGCTGCTGACCATGTTGTTCCTACTTTTTATTTATTTATCTTAAAGTACTTATGACTCTCCTGACTTGTGGGCAGCCCTTCATTTTGATGCAGTGTCAAGATTGAAAATGGTTAAGCCATCAACTAAAGCTGAGACATCATATTTCATTACAAAACAATAATAACAAATCATGCTTGAGGAATATTTAATGATGTTGGAGTGTGACTGTTGCTCCATACTATCTAAGAGGGGACATGTGTCGTTATGTAGCAACCAACAGTGGATTCCTGTCATTTAATGCCATACAAGTGTGGACCTTTTTTTCTGTAGGCAATGCGGACCAGTAAATATTATGCATTCCTGATGAAAACTCATCAGGACATTAATGCTTCATGAATTAATTTATGTAGCCCTTTATATTAGGGCTTGTCCATAAAGTACACAGGTACATCTAAGCTTGCAAGTCTGTAACTAAACCAGCATTTTCATTCCACACTTCAACAAGGGATCAACTTTGCCTCTGGATGTCATGTCATCGGTAATAGTCTTTTTCTCATGGGTAATGTGGGTTACACATTTCTTAGCAAAGGACAGCAGCTTCTCAGGTGGAGGATCAAACTTCAGGCTCTTGAAGGTTTAAGTTGGTAAAGTTTTACTTATGACTCTCCTGACTTGTGGGCAGCCCTTCATTTTGATGCAGTGTCAAGATTGAAAATGGTTAAGCCATCAACTAAAGCTGAGACATCATATTTCATTACAAAAACATAACAAATCATGCGGAATAATTATTGATGCTGGATGTTGGAGTGTGACTGTTGCTCCATACTATCTAAGAGGGGACATGTGTCGTTATGTAGCAACCAACAGTGGACTCATGTCATTAAATGCCATACAAGTGTGGACCTTTTTTCTGTAGGCCTAATGCAAACATGAAAATACCATGCATTCCTGATGAAAACCCATCAGGACATCATTTTATTTGGGTAGCCTTTTATCTTACATTCTGAAGCTTAATACTAGTTAGGAAATCTACTATTGCTGAGCCTTTAAGTTTTGTTTCAAAAGCATATTATCAAATCATGTGTCAACAGACTGCTTAGTTGAGATTATATTTTTCTCATAAGTATTATTGTTTTTGATTCAAAACCAGTCTAAGATTCAGTTATTAAGAGCAAATACAAAGTAACTCTTTAAAATGCATACATCACAGGTCATAAAAATGACCATCCCACACAGAAGAATATGAATTCCCCTAAGAGAAAATTAAAATAAGTGCACTAGTGTAATAAGATATTTTATTATTATTTAAACGGTATTTGAAACCTAGATCAAGTAATTTTTGTTGGTAATACTGTAGTGCTTGATATCAATGCATGCAGCAAAGTTACTTCTGAATTAAAGTTTAAAGTTTATTTATTTTCAGTTAAAGTGATTAAAGTTTGGATCACGGTGAAATGTTTACACATTGCTCACATTCAAGTTAAATTATCCATTTTTGAAAGAAACAAAGAAAGTCTTTGAAGGTAAAAACAGTCATTAGGTGAGAATGAGCACAGACAGTTCCACTGCATAACAATGGAGGTCCCCTCTTGGATAGGTAGCTATCGTTTAAGGATCTAAGTCCCCTCTTGGCAATTTCTTTAAAAAGCAAAAAAAAGCAAATTTGCAGTAATATTATGTTAAAAGACAGTAAAAGTAAATTTTGTATTATATTTATTTTACTTCAAAAGGACTGGAAACACAGGTCCACACTTGGCAGTTTACTCCGACGGTGCACTGTTGGATAGGTACGCGTGTATGTGTGTGTGTGTGTGTGTGGTGTGTGTGTGTGTGTGTTACATCATGTAGATATCACTCACATGTTCATGCCAGGCATCCCAGGACCAACCAGAGCATTCAGTGGAGGTCTCATCCCACCTCCATAGTTCTAAAAAACAAAAGCAACAAAATATCCATAGTTATGTCTACAAGAGAGACCCAATGCTTTGTAAATGTTACCACAAATCATCTGGTCCCATACCTGGGGCCCTAGTGGTACCATGCCTCTGGGTGGAGTCATCCGCTGCATTGGTCCTCCCATATTTGGATGTCCTGAAAGAAAGAAAAAACTGTCAAAATACAACCATCGGTTTTGTATTCAGGATTTGTCAGAGTGGGGTAATTTCTGTCTTACACCTTTATCTTGACACATTAGTGTTCCAGAATCCCCAGGAGGAGATGATGAGACCATTATTTAACATTTTACAGTTGAGTCTGAGTTTAGTTGAACATAAACTGAACATTCTGCTTCTTTCATGCATAATTTATGTGTTGTCTGGTGGAGGGAGTATTTTGTGTAAATGGGGTTGTACTTAAAAGATAAGAAGATTTGTATTAGTATCGTCAACAAATCCCATGGAGAGACTAAACTAACGATTCACTCGTCTAACAAGCATTGTCTGTGCAGCCACAGACTAATGTAGCTTATGTCGCCTTGCTGTAGAACTTCATTGTCACCAAAAAACTATTAAAAATACATAAAGATGCCTTGGGTGACATATTCTTTCATTACGAGTGTTCACATCTCTTCAAAAAGAGCGAAAGCATATAAAACCTCTTCCCAGAACGTTCTATGTGATCTCCACTGTGATTCTCCAGAGATCAACGATGTAGTTGTTTCAGAATGAACTGCAGCAACCAAATTCATCGTAAGCACACACCAGCACCACACAGCACCAGCCAGTGCAACAGCGTGGCTCTTCAGTGTGTGCTAGAGGCATTGCTCTAAAGGACGGCAATGTCAGCCCGGTTTACAACTTTGGTCCCGACAAAAAAATCTTAACAATTATTTGACAGACTGCCATGAAATTCTGGTTTCACGGACCCCCGAGGATGATCTTACTGACTATGGTAATCTGACTTTGGTAATCCCCTGACCGATTAGTTTGACATTTGTGATTTTGAGTGAAATATCTTAATGTCTACTTGATGGATTGGCACTAATTCTGGTAACGACATTCATGTTCCCCGCAGGATGAACTATATCTTTTCTGATTAGCCTTAACTTTTCATTCAGCACCATCATCAGGTCAATATTTTTAATTTGTCCAATACTTCGGTTTACTGCAAAACTGAAGACAACAAACAAAGCTTTACTTTGAGTTAATTGCTAATTAACAGCTGTTACCAATGCAAGATGCTAAAACAAAATGATGACACACTTGCTAAAAATCAGCATGTTGGCATTGTTATATGAGCATGTTAATGTAAGTGTCTTAGAGCAGCTTTACAGAACTTCTAATGTGGCTATAGACTCTTAGTTTTATCAATAGTTTTGGGATGTCATTTCCACAGGCAGTGGCTCCACAGAAAATACTTTTTGGTTGAAATCAAAAGATAAAATAATACTAATAAACTGGGTAATAACTGGGCACATGTGCCGTTATATCTTACAGTATGTCTGTGTTTGTGCATCCGAGTGTGTCTATCTGTACCTTGTTGTCTGGTAGGGTCCATTCCACTGGGTAACATAGGCTGACCACCTGGGACTCCTCCAAGTCCCTACAGAGGGAGGAAAATCCATCAAACAGCATTCTCATCATGGCCACACAGATACTTTCTATTCCTACTATCCACGGTTCTGTCTGCCACCTGCAGGTGTCAGTGTGGCTCTTACCTGATTGGGTAATCTCAGGGGTGGTCTGGGTCCTCCGGGGTATCGAGGTGACATAAATGGCTGAAACAAACAGTATAAATGCAGGTTGAATCACTGAAGATAATAAATACTGTGCACACAATCTATTACATGCATGACATATTTAGGTTTGCCGTGACAAATGGCTCCATGCCAAAACACTACATACTTAAATTTGGCACCTTTGATGTGGATGTCTAATCAGTGTTTATGGTAAATGCAGTTGATCTAAATTGAATAAATTACGACAATAGCCGAAAATACTCAGGTCACATCCAATACATCCACACTTGCAACACCATGTCAATCAAACAATGTCAAAACCACTACTGTATAGTAAGTACCAGTGCATATAAGTAAACCCAGCGATAACAACAGGTATCCAATATCTCTGCCCTAGAATATAAACATACATAAAACGGAAGATAGTAAATCAACCTTATCTTTAGATGTTAAACTGTCTTGATGTTTCAATGCTGCACACTGCTGCTTGTCATGTTTAAAGGGAGAGGTTGTATTTTTTAAGTTACTTTTTTAGGACAATGCACATTTGTTTCCTCTATATTTACATTGCATGTTTTCTTATTGTGCAAATAAACCTTTCTCAAAAGCATTTTCATTTGTTAGTTAATGGATTTTGGTGCCAGCTATTATTCAAAACATTTTTTTTCCCACTAATTCCGCTTTCAAAAAATGATGGGGACAAAATCAACCACTTCAAAAAGTGATGGGGACATGTCCACCTCGAGAGAGCCAGTGTGTGCGATACTAAGGTATACATGAGAGACCATAAGGGCCGAGAGGGTTGTATTATTGAGGGACTATCAACAGAACCTGTGTAAAGCCTCATTTAAAGCCAACTAATAATAAGAGTAGTAGGTTGACTGCTGGTAAGCTCAGCTAGCATTAGCTTTGCTGTCACAGAGAAGCCCACTGGGTGGGCATCAGAAGCTCGTGCACAATGCATCCTGGTACATGTAGGCACTGCTGGCACGGCTCTGCGAGCAGGAGTTTTTTTTTCCCTCTCCAAAACAGGAAACCAACCAACACTACTGCGTATGTCTTCTGTTGAGTTTTGGGCTCATTTTCCTTTAACAACAGTTCCATGACAGCAGAGTCAGGAAACCGACCGCATTTTCATTGCATTGGATTTATGGAAAAAGTGAAAAAAATGAGAGAATAAAATATAAGGCTTGTAAATAATGATGTAAGTGTATGTGTTAACTGTGTGCAGTTTGGCAGCATGTGGTAGAAGCTCTTTTGCAGCTGTGAATGGGTTTTCACTTGTCCTCACCACAGACAGTAGCAATGCTGTTGCTATGTCTGCTGAATTGATGCCACTGTGGTCAGAAAAGCCAGTCTGCAGTGCTGGAGAAGCAATACAATAACTTGCCACTAGAGAGCAATGGTCCACTTGTTTTGATCAGGAAAAGCTACAGTATTTTAGGTCTACCTAAATACTATAATGATTAAAATGATTGTTTCCATGCATAGGGGAGAGCGGGGCGAGTTTAGCCAGTTTTTACTTGATGTGTCTTTAAAGTGAGGACATGACAGTAAGGTCTTCAACTAAAATATGTACATATATTTTAGGATGTGGTGCATCCCTGGGAATAATCAATTTAGATCTAAAATAAACTGTTTTCAAAATATGGCTTTCCAAAAACAAAGTGGCTCAACCTGCCCCTGATATGTGGCAAGTTGGGCCACTTCTTTTTTGGAAAGCCATATTTTAAGGGAGAGGATAAGTTGAGCCACATGGGGGTCGGGGACATCAATGGCATTTTATCGTGCAAACTTAAACGCGAGGTCCCAACATTCAGTTGCATTTAGTAGTGAAACATTTCCACTATGTTTCCCAGTTTTTTCATATTAATGTATCACTTTAAAGTCATCATATTTATCGTCATGTCTCGTGCCACCTGATGAATGAACTTCCCATTTTTGTACCTCTCCCACTCCTCTGTCCAAATTCACAAGAGGAGTTGAAGCCTGTCTGTCTTCCATTTATAGAAGCATGACATGATCGTTTCTGGTCTAAAATGCATAATGTCACACAATTTAAATTAACCCATCCCTGCCATTTTAACAAAAGTGTGTCATCCAGCTGTTTGAGGGTAATGTCATGCTAACAGTATAGCCTCATATTGTAACTTCCTAAAGCACTAACACATGCGTAAGATTTTTTCAAACATGTCTGTAATTGTTCAGACATTAGAATCAGGACTCCATGAACATATACAAAAATCACTTTGAACGGCAAAAAACAGTTTTTTGAAATTAAATGTGCTTATCACTTATTCCCTGGGCCTCTCGTCATCACAGGGTGAGTAAAATGATTAAATCTTCAAAAATGTGTATTCATATGACCAATTTTGTCTATGGTTGCCGAGAAACAAGGGGTGGCTCAACTTCCCTACAGGCTCAAATCACCAAGCTATCCCCTACATACATACATTCAGAACAAATAAATGCAAACAACTGAACATATGGAGTTACTAAATCAATACATTTAATAATAATCCATAAGTAATGTTGAAAGCTAGATATGTGGATATAGCTTTATGGGCATGAGTGTGCATTGTCTGTGATCTGCATTTATTTTTTTTGCCATAAAATTCAGTTAACCACACGATTCACCTTCGGTGATATTCTGATCATATTCAAATAAATTTTCTGTTAATCTGATAATTGTTGGTTTCTTTAACTAATGAGTCTTAACAAGACCTTGTCTTCAAAGAACTATTGATTTTCAGAAGGAGATGGAAAAGGCTGTTTGGACTCATAGTGCAGTTTTTTGAAAGCAGAGCTGTGAAATGCCTATGAAGGCTATTGATCTGTGTGTCAGATGCGAGCGTCTGAGTATGACTGATAATGACGATTAATCAATATACAACTGTCCTTCTGATGGAGAACAGAGATGATCTGGGGCGAAGCTGGATGTGTATCTTTTTGTTTAAAAGCTATTTATTTCTCCTGTCTTTTCTCTCCGTTTTGAGGGACACATGGTGATTCCCCCCACACACAGATAAATGCAAATTGTACACACATGCAAAGATACTGTATATTATTACATACAGTGAAGTATAAGTGGGTGAGTGATTTGAGGAAAAGCTTTATGATTAAATATTCACATTTGTTAACGAATATTTAATAGTATAATTTAAAACTGTGTAAGTGGTAAGTACCATATACCTGAAAGAATCCTGGAGGGACTGGCCCCACTGGCATGCCGTCTCCTGGGGGAAGGTTCCCAAGGACGGGGCTGGGAGCTGCTGCAGCACTCTTAAAGATGCAAACACACACATGCAAACACACGCAAAGAAACAGAGTAAAAATCACAACTCAAGATACTCAACACCTCTTTGCTCAGCAATGATGGAAAGTATATTTAGTCAAGTACTGCGGTATAATACAAATTTGAAGTATTTTTCGTGAGTATTTCCATTTGATGCTACTTTATAATTCTTCAACTTCCACTACATGTCAGAGCTATTTAGTATACATTTTCCTCCAATATGATGAGTTTATAAAATATGATGCACTGTTAAGGATTAAACTACGCAACATAATATAACAATAAATTAAAATCAACTGCAACTTGAAAAGCAAAATGCTACTTAAAACATCAATGCATCAAAAGATTAAAGTAAAAGTAAAATACTCACTCACTTTTTTCTGCATTATAACGTACTTTTACTTTTGACACTTTAAACAGTATATAGCAGTATTGCTGTTGTTACCTAACTTAAACAAACATCAATAAATTTGGAATTCCTCAATTCTCACTTGCTGTCTCTCCCTCAGTGGGGCATTTCCTGTTTCTGCAGATGCCCTGCCATGGCGGCTCAGGTTTATTTTTATACCTTGTGTTTTTTTGTTGTGCTTGCCCCAGACGGGTGGCGCTGGCACATTTCAGCACAGCCTCTGTTTGCTTCCTGTGGCATTGTACAACTTACTAACCCCGAGTTACCGCCCAACACCGGCCTCTTCCTCATCCTTATTTGGTATACAGACCAGACAACATGCATAGTGGGACAGTGTACATGCATGTATATGATAATGTGTGAACAGTGAGCACATAAAGTCAGCAAGCCTGTGTCCGTGTGTATTTTTTTCACTATCTGCCCACTCTCTGTTCTGTTTCTCTGATCTCCCCTCTGCTTTCGCTTCCTCTCTGAAGGCATCGGCTGGGTGTAAAGAGCTCCAGTGAAATTCACCCACAGTCTCTGAAGTTTCTGCCAGCTGACTTTTTAGGTCAGACAGGAACAAGGTTTAATCAGAGCCGAGATAAAAGCGGACTGATGAAACTCCTGAGTCCTCCTCTACTCCAACCACCACCCTCGCTTTTCCCTATTCCTCCCTCATTCTCCGCCATATCTCCCAATCGTTAATGTTCGGCAACAGGGAACAGGATGCCATGCAGCTTTTTGGTTCCATATTCTGCTGCAAACAGAGCCTGTATTTGTCTCAGCAGATGAATGTACAGATGGACACAGATGGACATTGTATCTCTGTGTTTCAGTGACGAGAGGCTGGATTTGGTTTGTTTGTGTGTGTGTTTGTCTGAGTGTATAACAACATGCACAGCATGGAGTGTGTATTGGGATTTTGTAAGAGTTTTTGCCCCCTTTCTTTCCCTCTTCTTTCTCGCACCCTGGATTACCCAGAATGCCTTTACTCCCTTGCTGCCTGGAGGTCTGCTGAGTTTGCCTTCACACATAGAGAGAGAGGTAGGGAGGGAAAGAAATGAAAAGAGGACAAAGCAGAGATTATGAGCGTGCATGTGTGTGTGTGTGTGTGTGTGTGTGAGCGCACTTAATGTTTGTTTGTGCAGGAAAAGAAAAACTGGGGGAGGAAAAAAATCTACCTGACCTGCTGACAAAGCAGCATTTTACAAATACAAACAAGAAAAGAAAGAATAATAAAAAAAAAAAGAAATACAACCTGCCAGGATATATCCCTGCCACAAAACCAGCAACACCCCCCCCCCCCACACACACACACACATTTACGGAAAACATAAACAGCACTAGCAACAACGCTAACTCCCCAGGTACTGACTGTCTCTCTTGATCATGACAAATCACATTGACTCTGAAAATCAGAATGAATCACACTGAGAAGGATTCACAAAGCCTCTTTAGAAGAGAGGCTGTAAATCTTTTTTCAGGTTTGTTCTTCCAACACCACTGAGATGGAGGAGTCACGTGGCATAGTGAGGCTGTGATAAATTCATATAGCAGCATCTATGCTACTAGTCTGAGACATTGACTGTATACGACAGCATATGAAGATGAACGACGTGTCTCCACTTTCTCCCACTGTTAAAAAATTAAGTCAAAGTACCCCAGATATGGGCGCTGCCATCTTGCACTGGTGGCGTCATTTGAAGCCAGAGTCTGCGCAGTAATGATCGGGGTTTGAGCCACAGCATTGATGTCCCGCCCATACACCCTGCCAACTCAATCGCAAACAAGGCTCAGCTATCAATCATGAATCATGACATCCCTGTTTTATAGCATCAAATAACCAAACTAAAAAAATAAACTTAACATAAAAATGAACGCGTATGTTTGACGTGCACTTTGATTATATAGTTTGGCTCATGTTCTATGCGCTAAAATAGAGTGGGTGGGGTTCATAACCTATACAGCAACCAGCCACCAGGGGGCGATTGAGATGTTCTTGCTTCACTTTTGGGAAGTTGCCATGTTGTCCATGTTGAAGCTCCTGACAGCATTTTGCCTAGCTTAGCACAAAGACGGGAAACGGTGAAACAACTAGCCTGGCTCTGTCCAAAGGTAACAATGTCAGCCTACCAGACACTCTAAAGCTAAAGCTCACTAATTAACACGTTATAGCTTGTTTGTTTAATCCGTGCAACTCTCTGCGAAACATATTTCCCAAAATTATTCCTGTAAGTCTGCATTGTTTCAAAAATCAATAGTGTTTCAGTATCAGTTTTGTCACTGACATTAATAATGCTAATATTGTATGTAATACTAATATCTAAGAGGTATGATGTAATGCCATAAATCTTTAACATCTGGCTAAGAACAAAGAATGGCTAACTCTGGCCCATTTAACATTTTTTCCTTTTAATCAACATTCATTGTATCTGCAAAATAAACAAATAAATGGAATACAATTTAAATCAAAATACTGTATTTCTGACAATGTTACAGGGCTAGTATAAGCACAACAATAATCAATTGGATAAAAAAATAGAACTAGAGTAATAAATAATAGCTAATAAAAGCAAATATATCGACAGACATTAGTTCATTGCAGAAATATCAGTATCTGCATGTTGGGCGAATAGTAACAAGAAACAAAACATTTTTTCCAAAAATCAGTTTGAGGACATTTAGAAACATTATAGCATAGTTTGTTCACCTGACAGACCCGACAGGTTTCATTCTTCATACTGTTTCATACAGTATGAGAGCACAGTTCTATAAAAAAACTAATCAAGGATACAAACATTATTACCTGATTTTTTACATCTAAAATACAATGTATGTATTGGCCTAAAAAATGCAGTATCTAGAACCGCTAGAATGGTAGCGTGTGACGGCATAACCAGAGGCGTATATAAGCACGCCGGCACACAGGACACATTAGCCCTTTTCTATGAAGCAAGGCACTCCAGGCGGGGTGAGGTGTGGCGGACCGACACAGTGTCTTGTTCCCCTTCGAGGGGAACAAGGGTTCGAGACGTTCCCCTTCGAGGGAACTCGAACCGCATCGGTGACGACACTATGGGAACGAGATACCCACTTAGGCCGTGCCGAAACCCCGCCTGCCCCCAGAACCTGATGGCACGACTAGGAGGAAAGCGCACGGGTGCTGGGTGCAGAAGGAAGGTCCAGACTGTAAAACCGGATGAAAGTATGAGGGGTGGCCCAGCCAGCCGTGTCACAAAAATCCTGGAGCGACGCCCCTGCGAGGAGGGCCCTAGAAGCCGCCATGCCTCGAGTAGAGTGCGCCGTTAAGGCAAACCGCGCACCTGATAGGCCAGGGAAATAGTCTGAACGATCCAGTTACTGATGGTGTGTTTAGAAGCGGGGAGCCCAGCCTTGGGGGACCTGAAACACACCAGCAACTGGTCTGCTTTCCTCCACCGGGAAGACCTCAGAGTGTAAATACTCAGCGCTCTGACAGGGCAGAGCAGATGAAGTCTCCCGCCCTCCGCTGTCACATGAGGTGGGGGATGAAACGCCTGCAGCACCGTGGACCCTGCCAAACTGGACGGAACCTTAGGGACATAGCCTGGACAAGGGTGCAGGATGGCCCTGACCCTCCCTGGGGCAAACTCCAGGCATCGGGGAGAAACCGAAAGTGCCTGGAGATCCCCCACCTTCCTCAGAGAGGTTATAGCGAGGAGAAAGGCCATCTTAACGGTCAGGTGCTTGGCCTCAGCCGACTCCAGGGGTTCGAAGGGGGCCTCAGCCAGCGCTTCGAGAATCACTGCCAGGTCCCAGGTGGGAACCCAGGAACGAGTCACAGGTCTCATCCTCCGGGCTCCACGGAGGAAGCGCACGACCAGTGCTGCAATGGCAGCATTCCACACATCTGCTGGGACCACAGGAGGATCTGATGTGCCAGTTAGCATAACGGGCGCGAGCGCAGCCCCCCCTGGTAATTCAAATAGGCCACCACTGCCGTATTGTCGGTTCTGACAAGGACGTGGCGACCGCGGAGGGCGGGCAGGAAACTTCTCAGAGCTCTGAATACCGGCAACATTTCCAGGCAATTTATGTGCCAGGAAAAATTATGCTCCTGCCAGGAGCCTCTCGCTAAGCGGCCGTCCATGACCGCGCCCCATCCCGTGAGCGAGGCGTCTGTCGAAATAATTGTTCGGCGACAGATCGCTCCCAACACGGGCCCTTGGGACAGGAACCAAGATTTCCTCCATACAGACAGGGAATGAAGGCACCTGCTCGTAACCCGTATCAGACGGAGCGGATTTCCCCTCGGGGAGAATCCCTTGGATTTTAGCCACCACTGCAGGGCTCTCATGTGCAGTCGTCCAGAAGGTATTTATACTGGACGCTGCTGCCAGGAGACCCAACACCCTCTGAAAGTGTTTCACAGTGATGGCGCGGCATAACTGCACTATGGTCACTGAGGACAAAATGGACTCGAAGCGTGCGGGACACAGGTTGAGGTTATAGCGAGGAGAAAGGCCATCTTAACGGTCAGGTGCTTGGCCTCAGCCGACTCCAGGGGTTCGAAGGGGGCCTCAGCCAGCGCTTCGAGAATCACTGCCAGGTCCCAGG